TAAAAAGTCCCATATGAGCCTAACCAGTGGTCAAAGACAACGGGGGTGGGGGTATGTGTGGGGAGGGGTGTGGGATGGGAATGGGGGAATGAGGACAAATATGAGGTACCTTAATAAAGAAGTTTAGCTGAAACCGGTTTGGCTCAGTGATAGAGCGTCGGTCTGCAGACTGAAAGGTCCCAGGTTTGATTCCGGTCAAGGGCATGTACCTTGGTTGCGGGCACATCCCCAGTGGGGGGTGTGCAGGAGGCAGCTGGTTGATGTTTCTCTTTCATCGACGTTTCTAACTCTCTATCCCTTTCAATTCCTCTCCGTGTAAAATCAATAAAAATATATTTTTAAAAAATAAAGAAGTTTAAACAAAAATAAATAAATAAATAAATAAAGTCCCCAGGGCCTCTGAGTGGAGTCAGAATTGAGCTATTCACTAAAGAACTCAGTCAATAAAAACTCTCTCCATACTTCAGTCTGCAAATGGGCCCATAACACATGCCCCTACCCCTGCCTAAGAAGACCCTGAGCTGCCCATGGACAGGGCTCCCAGCCCAGCCCCAGCCTTAGAAGGGGCCCCACAATGTGAATGAGAGTCAAACAAGCAATGACAAGACTGGCCAGCCTGTCCCCCTGCAGAGCGGCCCCCCAGGACCTGCGTCGGGAGCCAACCATGCATAGTACAGAAGCCCTCCAGGTGCCAGGCCTCTGGTCGTGTAGGGACAGGCTCAGCTCAGTCCTAAAGAGCTTCCTCTTCTGTGGGACCATCTGAGAGACCCCCAGTGTTTGGGTCTCCACTCCACTCCCTACTCCAGGATCTTCAGACCAGGATTGTGCTTTGGGCAGGTGCTGCTCTCTTGGGGCCTGACTCTGTTCTGACTTGCTATGTGTCTTTCAGCAAATCCCCACCTCTCTGTGTGCAACAAAGAAAAGTATTTCCCCCTCCCTTAGCCACACTAGCTAGATTTTTCTTTAAAAAAATTGAGCCGGCCTAGCCAGTTTGGCTCAGTGAACAGAGCATCACCTGTGGACTGAAGGACCCTGGGTTCAATTCAGGTCAAGGGCACATGCCTCGGTGGCAGGCTCCATCCCCAGTAGGGGCATGCAGGAGGCAGCCAATGGCTGCAGGAAGCAGCCAGCCTTCTCTCTCTCATCACTGATGTTTCTATATCTTTCTCCCTCTCCCTTCCTCTCTGAAATAAATAAAAAATAATAAAAAAATTTGAGCCCGGCCCTGGCTGGGTGGCTCAGTTGGTTGGAATGTTGTCCCATGCACCAAAAGGTTGGGGATTTGGTCCCTGGTCAGGGCATGCACAGGAGGCAACCAATCGATGTTTTTCTCCCACATCAATGTTTCTCTTTCTTTCTCATCCTACCTTTTTCTCTCTAAAATTGATAAATATATCCTCGAGTGAGTATTAAAAAATGGAATCATCTGGGTTCTGGCAGAAGTGGGTGCACTGCTGAGTTGGGTGAGGAATTGACAAGATCAAAGCTGAAGGAGGTACAGAGAGATGGAAGGATCTTTTTTTTTTTTTTAAATATATATTTTTTTAATATATAAAAATGGGGTTTATTTTACACAGCCCTTTGAGATATAACATCACGGAGTCACTATTCAGTTATATATTTATAGGAAAATTTGTATTTTGCAAAACACATATATTTATCTCCAGGAATTAGTTGCCTTTGTTATGTAAGTGCCTGTCTTGTTCTCTATTCACATTGTGAACTCTGTGGGAAGAGGCCCTGGCTTATATTTCTGTATCCATTATTGAAAAACCAAGAACACTGAATAATTGAAATCTCTCTTCTCAAAAAGAAAAAAAAAAAATTGAATCATCTGACTTCCCTTCCCCCCAGCCCTACCTCAAAATAAGCCAGGATTCAGAAAACCCTGAACTTTGTACCTGGTTTGAACGAGGGACTCGGTAGACCCCATGATTGGGGAAACTGAGGCACACAAGGCAATCTACTTTTGCTGCAGGAGGAATAGGGAAAATGAGGCCCAGGCCCCCACTTTCTGGCTTCTTTGAAATCAGGCCTGGAGGGTCACTTCAGAGCCCCTAACATGTGCCTATTTTGCTTTTCTCCTGCAGGGCAGGACAGAAACCTTTTCCCCACGCTCAGATGGGGAGACGGAGGCCCAGAGGGGAACGCCGGGGTGGCCAGTGAGAGGCTGCTCTTGTCCGTGGCTTCTGCTGACTGCTGTGAGTTTGTGATCCAGCCCCTTTAGGAGGCCAGCAGAGCTAGCCCTGACATAAGGCTCTGTGCCTCAGTTTCTCCATCTGTCAGGTGGAGGTCTGAGTGAGAATGTAATGTGTATTAGTATTACAGTTAGCACTCAGGCTGCCTGCCTCTCCCCAGACCCCCCAGCGAGGGAGAGGTGACGGGCCTCTGTCAGAGGAGATCCGCCCCCAGGCCTGGGGGAGGAAGCCACCGGCCCCAGAGGCTTAGTGGGGCGGGGTGGACTGCACCTCACTTCTCCTTTCTCCCCCCTGTTGGCTCTGCCCCCGGATGAAGCATGGGCAGGGGTTCCCGGACAGCAAGGTCCCACCTGTCCTTCTCGGCACCTGCCTCTCCCTAGCTGGAGACTCTGGGCAAATGCCCTCCAGCCTCTGACTCTGCCCATCTGTAGATGGGACCGTAGCAGGATCCAGCTCCCGGGTCATCGGCGTGAAAGGAGTTCACACAGGGGAACAGCCCTGCAAACAGCAAGGGTGCCCCTGAGGTCCCACCTCTAGCTTTGCACCATTCATTCTCTCCCACAAACGCCCCAGGATGCAGGGTCAGCTTTGGGGTGGGAGCCAGGCAGCTCTCCCTGGCCTGCAGCCCCTTATTTCTCACCCATTATTTCTGCCCCAATGCCTCTTGTAAAAATATTAAAAACCTGAGGTTTGAGCACACACACACACACACCCTGAGGTTTGTTATTAAACTGGTTTATTTTTTAATGATTCCAACCAAATACAGCAGGGTCGGGGGGGAGGTTGGGGGTGTCTTGGTTCATGTTGGGACGGGGTGGGGGGGGCCTGGCAGAGGGGCTGGGAGGTCCACTCTGTGTGATGTTCTGTAAGTCCTAACACTCCCGAGAACATACCCCCACTCTTCTTGATGATGCTAAAGGCACTTGGATGTCATTTTGAAAGGCTCCCAGGGTTGTCATGGCAACCAAGGTCAGGAGAGTGCTCAGGGAAAAAACGAGTTGGCTCTGCCCACCTTGAGTGGGGTATGCAGCTGCTGGCCACGATCAGCGACCCACCACCCCACCGTGCAGGCCTGTGCGCGCTGTGGGCGGAGGGAGGACTGGGGCCCTGGCATTCCCAGGCACAGCCAGAGAGAACAGCCATGTCCCCTCCGAGTTCTGTCTGAATCCTCTGCTCAGTACCTCCAGGGTCGACCTGGCTTTCTCTCTGGCTCATCTCAGAAGATCTGGAGGGACCCAGGATTGAAGACCACCATCAGGCCTGTCCACGGTGGGTTTTACAGGTCCGCAGTCACCGACCGCGATGACACAGCGGGCGGGGACGCAGCAGGCTTTCCGCCTTCCTACAGGGTCCTTGAGAACACTGTCCTCACCCTCTCAGCTCCTTTCTGACTGAGGTCAGTCCCCACAACGTCCCCTGTGCCCCTTTCCCCAGCGATGCCGTATCTGTTGTCTGGCTGAGGTAGACAGTGAGGGCAAGACCCCGCCTGGTGGGGAGGGCAGGGCCACGGACAGCCCCTGCCTGGAGTCTGAATACGTCTGCGGTACCTCTGCTCCTGCCTGCTGACCCTCAACGATGGGAACACTCCCTGAGGAGCCAAGGGACAGTGGCCTTGAGGAAACTTCCTTCGCCTGAGCTACCGCCTGCCTATGACTCTCTACTCTGTGGACCTCGAGTCGCAGAGACCGAGGTGCTTCTGTCACCTTCTCTCAACAAACCTGTCCAGGCCTCCCTGCAGCCTGACCCCCTGTCCAGGCCTGCTCCCCACTGCTGCCCTGCAATGCACAGAACAGGGACCCCGAGAGCCGCTCACATTCTCTGCTCTCACTCCCCACGTGAGCAGGGGACACGGGATTGGCTCAGGATGGGAGGTCACTCCAGCTGGCTTGCTGGAGGACACCCCGGGAGCTATGTTCCATGCCAGGGACCAGGAAGATGCCCCTCTGGCCTGGTGTGGGCTCAATGACCCAAGGGCGGCTCTGAGGGTGGTGGAGGAACCTGGTGAAATGGCTTCTCCTAGTGGCAGCCAGTGGGAGTCGGGGGCAAAGGAGGGGCCAGCATGTCTGGGATCACCTAGCATGCTGGGCAACCTCAGGGTGAGCCTGATCAGCTTAACAAGACCTCAGCCCAGCCCCCAAGAGACCCCCCGAGTTGGCCAGCTGGGCGGGAGCTGGCTGCGTCCCAGGTGTGAGCTGGCTGTGACTCAGGTGTGAGCTGGGTGTGTGCCAACTGTGGGCTGCTGGTCCCAGGCGTGTGTTGTGTGCTCACAAGAGTCCTGGGTGCCTGCGGTGAGCTCTGGGTGCCCGGTGTGGGTGTCCCGCTTTAGAACGTGTGTCTCTGTGTCCCGGGCGTGAAGATGTGTGCTGGGGGTGAGGTGGGGGTGTCCAGGTGTGAACAGTATAGGCTTCTGTGCGCCCTCCACGCGTCCTGAGTATAGACCATCTCCCCAGGTGTGAGCTGTCGGGGGGCCTGGGAGCAGCAGCGGTGTGCCTCCGGGTGGGTGGGAACTGTGAGCAGTGAGGACCCTAGGAGTCCGAGGCTCCCCTCTCCCCTTCCCCCATGCAGCTCAGTGACCACGCAGGGCCAGGAAGACTGGGGAAACCTTAGAAAATGCTGGAGAAACTCTGCAAAAGACACACCCTGATGAAAAAAGTCCTGCGGCGGGGTCTCTACAAAAAACAGGGGAGTGCCGCCAGCCGGCAGCTTGCAGCCGCTCCTCCGGGGAATGCATAGGTGTCACCATCGGACAGGCCGGCCAGGGGGGCTGGTGGGGACAGAGCCCCCCCCCCCCCCAGGACCCCCTCAGATCATCTTCATGTTGAACTTGCGGGAGCTGCCCTGGCCGGCGCCGGGGGCCGGGCCGTCCACCTTGCGGAAGGAGTACTCCACCGAGAAGTTGTTCTTGTGCTGCCCGCGGCCGCGGCTCCACACGAAGAGCAGCAGGAAGCAGAAGAGGACGACGCCCAGGAAGGTGATGCAGCCCATGGCGGTGGACACCAGGATGGTGGTGAGGTCCAGCGGGAAGCGCGCGGCCGCCGCCAGCGTCTCGTTGCGGCCGTCGCCGCCCGGGCCCAGGGTCCGGTTGGCGGCGGGCTCGGGCCGCACGGCCAGCGTGGCGAAGTAGGTGTCGTTGCCGCCCGCGTTGCTGGCCACGCACGTGTAGGTGCCGCTGTCCTGCGGCCGCGCGCCGCGGATCTCCAGCGTGCCCCCGGGCAGCACGCGCGCGCGGCCGGTGCTGGCGCGGGTGACGGCGCGGTGCCCGGGGGTCACCCAGGCCACGGAGGGCGCCGGCTCGCCCTCGGCGCGGCACTGGAAGCGCACGTCGTCGCCCGCGGCCGCCGTGACGCGCTGCAGCCGCCGCTCGCGGATGGTGGGCTTGCGGCACACGAAGACCTCGAAGAGCGCCGAGTCCGGCAGGTGGCGCAGCGCGTCGCCGCGCGCCTCGGCGGGGCTGGCGCAGGCCGGCAGCCGCCCGTCGAAGTTGAGCGTCTTTCGGCGCTGCACGATCCACAGCAGGCGGCAGTCGCAGGCCAGCGGGTTCCCGTCCACGCGCAGCGTCTCCAGCGTGTTGACCGAGTGGAAGGTGCTCTCCTCCAGCGTGGACAGCAGGTTGTCGGAGAGGTTGAGCAGCCGGATCTGGCGCAGCCCCAGGAAGGCCTGCGGCTCCACCACGGCCAGCAGGGCGCCCGCCAGGTGCAGCTCGCGCAGGCGCACCAGGTCCCGGAAGGAGCCGCGCGGCACGGTGCGGATGGGGTTGTGCGACAGGTCGAGGCAGGTGAGGTGGGCCTGGTGGCGCAGCGCCGCGGCCGGCACGGCCGTGATGTTGGTGTGCGTGACGGACAGCGAGGTGAGGTTGAGGCCGCGCAGGCTGCCCGCGGCCACCTCCTCCAGCAGCGGCCAGTGGTCGATCTCCAGGTGCAGCAGGCCCGGCAGGCGGCGGAAGTTCTGGTCCTCCAGCGCCGCGATGGCCAGGTGGCGCAGCCGCAGCGCGCCCAGGCCGCGCAGGTAGCCCAGCGCCTCCCCGGACAGCGCCGTGAGGTTGCAGCGCTCCAGCGTCAGCTCCTCCAGCGCCAGCAGCCCCGCGAAGGCGCGGCGCGAGATGAACACCAGGTCGTTGTCGCCCACCTCCAGGCGGCGGAGGCTGCGCAGGTCCTGGAACGTGTAGTCCAGGAGGATGACCAGCTTGTTCTCGCTCAGGTCCAGCAGCGTGAGGTTGTCCAGGCGCGCGAACGCGCCGGGCGGCAGGAGCTTGAGCAGGTTGCCGCGCAGGCGCAGCACGCGGAGGCGCGGCAGGCCGGCGAAGGCGCCGGGCTCCACGTGCGCGATCACGTTCTCGCTCAGGTCCAGCTCCTCCAGCAGCGGCAGCGCGGCCAGGTCCCCGGGGTTCAGGCAGCGGAGGCGGTTGCGGCTGAGCTCCAGCAGGCGCGTGTCGGCCGGGATGCCGTCGGGCACGGCGGTGAGGCGGCGCCGGGCGCAGGCCACCGTGCGCGTCTGCGCGGCGCACTCGCAGCGGGCCGGGCAGCCCCCCGCCGGGGGCGGCGCCGCGGGCAGGAGCAGGAGCTGCAGGCTCAGGACGCACAGCCAGCAGGTCATGGTGTGGAGCCTGGGGAGCCGCGGCCTAGGGACCCGCCACCATCTTCGTGGGCACCTGGGAGTGGGGGCAGCGTTAGCACCGGAGTCTGGCCTCCCTGCCCCGTCCCAGGAGCACCCACGGGTGGCATGTATCTCCTGGGGGACCCGCAATCCCACACCTGGTTCCAGCACACACAACCTCACATAAACCCATACACGCAGGTTGACAGCAGCAGCATTCTGCTAGCCAAAATGTGGCAACAGCCCTGACCAGTTTGGCTCAGTGGATTGAGCATCGGCCTGCAGACTGAAGGGTCCCGGGTTTGATTCCTGTCAAGAGCATGTACCTTGGTTGCGGGCACATCCCCAGTAGGGAGTGTTCAGGAGGCAGCTGATCCATGTTTCTCTCTCATCGATGTTTCTCTTTCCCTCTCCTTTTCTCTCTGTAAAAATATCAATAAAATATATATTTTTTAAAATGTGGCAACAACGCAAGTGCCCAAATATGGGTGAACGGATAAGCACAATGCAGTCCATCCACGCACTGGAGTATCACTCAGCCAGGAAAAGGAGGGAAGAAACACTGACATTCATTGCAACACCACGAACCTTGAAAACACGATGCTCAGTGAGAGAAGCCGGACACACAAGGCCACACTGTGTGTGAGTCCATTTATGTGAAATGTCCGGGACAGGCACATTCCAGAGACAGGAAGTAGATGCAGGGCTGCCAGGGGCTGGGAATGGGGGTGGGAGTTTCTTTTGGGGTGATGGGATGTTCTGGAATTTGATGGTGGTGATGGTTGCACAATTTTGTAAATATACTAAAACCACGGATTGTGCACCTTAAATGGGTAAATTTTATGTTTTGTGAACTTTTCTCAGTTTAAAAAATTACAAAGGAAAGCATTTACTGAGCTGGAGAAGAATCATGTAAATATAATGGAAACATTTTGGTGCCACCCCTCACCCCCACCCCCATTTATTGAGTGCTCGGTATAAAGCGGGCTCTGAGCAGAGGCAGATCCTGCCCTCTGGGGCTCGCATTGGTGAGGTGGGGACATAGATGGTCTATGTGTCCCCCTTCCCAGCCCCCAGAGTTTTTACCAGGTCTCCCACCTGTCCTGTCCTCCCTCTGCTACCTGTCTGCATGGGCCCAACCATCAGATGTTTTCCGATGGTGTTAGGCGACCCTGCTAGCGGTTTGCCTAATGTAAACCAAAATGTTTACATTATATTTGCATGATTCTTCTCCAGTTCAATAAATGCTTTGTAATTTTTTAAACTGAGAAAAATTCAGATTGGGAACAGCTGCTGCAGAGCCTAAGATCATTGGAAAAACACAGAAATTTACATTGCGATTCATAACAGTAGCAAAATCACAGTTATGAAGTAGCAACGAAAATAATGTGGTGGTTGGGGGTGTGCCTGAGACGTGGCGCCTGCTTGATGAACATCAACACTCAGTACTTTTGAATGGAAATAGTTTGATCAAAACTCCGTCACAGAGTTTTGAGACCCATTCAGACAAAGTTTCCTGAGAAAGAAACACCCACAGGTAACGAGACCAGAGGAGGCACGGACAGAGGCTGTGAGGGGAAGCAGCACGGATGGACGAGCACGGGGACCGGAGCTGGTGAAAGGGCCTGGAAAGGTGACATGTGAGCTGGGACTCGGTACTGGGTAGAAAAGGGTCCCCTCCCAAAAGGCATGTCCCAGTCCTGACCCCGGGGCCTGTGACTGTGGCCTCGTTTGGAAGCAGAGCCTTTGTGTAGACACACTCAGCGGGAGTAGAGCCAGTGAAGACGGAGGCAGAGCAGGAGTGAAGGGGCGGGAGAGAGCTCCTGTGGCTGAGAATGTGGTCACACCACGGACATCGGGGGACCCCTGGTCTATAGGGGGTCAGAGGTCTCGGGAGGTCATAGGTCTTAGGTGCCTGTCCCCAGCTGGGGGACATCACAGGGAGACTGAGGGAAAGGAGCACGCGCTGGTTGGTTGTGCTCGCTCACTGCAATTGTCCTAATCCCAACCTGGGCATCGCAAGACACACACCGCCTCCCCAAGGCAAGCCTCCCTGCCGAGGGTGTTTTTCTGGGTCATCCTCTCCCATGTTGCCGCCCTGGAAAGCACACGGTGGGGCTGTGTCCCAGGTGGGGACAAGAGCCAGAACGGATGGTTCCCTGTTCAGCCGCCCGTCTCATGCCTCCGGCAACTTCCTACCTTAAGCTTGTCCCTGGCTCCGAGGTCACCCCCAGTTTCCTGCCGGGCCGCCCCCTGTGGCCATGAGGAACGGCTTGCTTGCCCAGGAATGGGGGACGGGACCTCGGCAGCCTGCTCTGGAGGGAGTGACTGCTCCCTGGCTCTGTCCCAAGGTGTTAAAGGGCTGACTTTTTCAACTCTCCCTGCCCTCCCCCCCATACAGACTCCTTGGGGGGCTGAGCTGCCTGGTATGTTCTTTCTGCAGGGGAGAATTTCACACCCCTAGAATGAAATTCAGAGTCTTTCCCAGGGCCCACCGGCCTTGCGCAACCTGCCCCCTTCCCCCTGTCTTCCTGCCCTCACCTCCTCCCTCTCTACCCCTCACTGATGCTGCTCCAGCCACACCGGCCGTCTCATTGTTCCTCCAACATGCCAGGCACCCTCCTGCCTCAGGACCTTTGCATATGCTGCACCAAACACCTTCCCTGCAAGGTTCTCTCCCTGATCTTATTTTGGTCTCAGCCCCCAATGCCACTGGTTGTTTTTTGTACTAATGTCCCCACCTTAGTCTTCCTGAAATGCTATTTAAACCCTAATTTGCCCTAGCCAGTTTGGCTCAGTGGATAGAGGGCTGGTCCTCGGGCTGAAGGTCCCCCCAGGTTCGATTCTGGTCAAGGGTACATGCCTCAGCTGCAGGCTCAATCCCCAGCCCTGGTGGGAGGCATGCGGGAGGCAACCAATCGATGTGTCTCTCTTATGTCGATATTCCTTTCTCTCTCTCTCTCTCTCTCTCTCTCTCTCTCCTTCCCTCCCTCTCCCTCTCTCTCCCTTTCTCCTTCCCTCCCTCCCTCCCTTCCACTTTCTCTAAAAATCAATGGGAAAATATCCTCAGGTGAGGATTAACAAAATATAAGTAAACCCTCATTTGATGCATCATCACTACCGTTATGGCGAACCCTTATCTGGTTTCACTGTGTGCCAGCCTGGGGCGAAAGGCTCCACCTGTGTTGTGCCCTTTAATTCCCACACAGGCTCGTGGAGGGGCTGCTGTCACCCCCACTTTACTGACAGGAACCCTGAAGCTCAAGCACTTACGTCACCGGCTCAGGTTCACACAGCCCATCGGAGGTGGCCGGGGGGACGTCTCAGGGCTAAGCGGGTGATAACACTCGCTAATTTTTTTATTTTTATCTTTTTTACAGAACCAGGACAAGGTCCTGGCAGCTCCGCCAGCTACAATTTAAAACACACTTCTGTGTTTGCTGGACCGATTTTTATCATCCCCTCCCAGAGATACTGCAATGCTGGTGCCAACTCAGCCCTTCAGCCCTCAGGCAGGTACCAAGGGCCCCGGCGGGTCCCAGGCGCTGGGGACACGGAGCCCAGGGGACAAAGAGGTCAACGTCCGGGAGCTGGGCCGTCAGGCAGCCTCTCCCGCCTGAGTGCGCACGTGGGGAGGAAGAAATCCAGGAAAAGGGCGACGGCTGGTGTCGAGGGATTGCCGTGATCTAATTATCTGAGCGAGGGATGTTCGTGCAGAGGCTCAGCGGAGGGAGGGAGCCAAGCAGATGGCGGCAGCAAGGACAGTCCGTGGAGGGCACGGCAGAGGACAGGCCGGGAGTGCGGCCGAGCGGCTCAGGCTGGGCCAGAGAGATGAAAAGGAACTTTGCAAACACGTTACGTTGGAAAGAATAATAATAATAATAAAATAGTTGCCATCGCCTGTGGCTGAAGGACACACTCAGGAAGGAAGTACTCGAGGGATGGGAGGTCGGGACAGCGAGGGCACCGCCCGGGGAAACAGTCTCGGAGAGGCCCGCGGGATGGGAGGCCTCGGTTCTAACGGGCTGTGTGGCCTCGGGTGAGAAACACACCCTCTCTGGACCTGGCCTGTCAGAGGAAACAAGAGCCCTCGGGGAAGCTGGAGCTCCGGCTCTATAATTACTGCCGGGATGAGAGGACAGCTGGTCCCCGGGCCAGGCGGGGGCCACTCACGCTGTGACCCAGTTTGTCAACTCTAACCCCAGCCTCAGGCGAGGCCCTGTCATCTCCTCTGCGGGCGTGAGGGGTGCAGGGCGGGGACTGGAAGCTGGCCCAGAGTTTCTGATGCTCCCCCTAAGGTTCTGCCCCACCACTACCTTGAGGGAATGCCTGGTTCTGGAGGACAGTGGGGACTCCATTCTGCCTGCGGGACCCCCATTCCCTCCCTTTCCCAGATGCTGGCCAGGCCTGAACGTGGGAGAACGTGCAGGAGGATGATCTCAGGGGAGCACCGTGTAGGGGCTGCAGCCAGGATGCCCGATGCCCCCAGGCCCTGCCGCTTGCAGACATCACAGGGCTGGGCACCCCAAGTGAGCAAGGGGCCTGCAGGGCTGGGTCTCCCAGAGGGGAAAAGACAGGAACTCGCAGTTCCCGATTAGGATCCAATCTGGATTCCGGTCTTGCGTCTGTGGGACTGAGTTTTTAGGGGCCTCCATACCCCTCCTTCCCCAGAGATCTGCCATCCACCTGGGGCCTCTCCTCTGTCCTCCCATGACTAAATACCACCATTCACTGATGACTCTTGTCTCTTTCCTTTCTTTCTTTCTTTCTTTCTTTCTTTCTTTCTTTCTTTCTTTCTTTCTTTCCCTTTTTGTTTTTTAGAGAGAGAAAAAACACTGATTTATTGTTCCACGTATCTGTGCATTCATTGGTTGGTTCTGTATGTGCCCTGGGCAGGGATCAGACCCACCACGTTGGTGTATCAGGATGACACTAACCAACTGAGCTTCCTGGCCAGGCAGCCGTGGCTGATGACGTCTGATTTGTGTCTCGGTCACCAC